CAAGGACAGAGGAGGTATGATCCCTACTCCAATTCCTACAATGAAGGGTGGAGGGATCATCCAAATCTGAGATATGGTCCCAGACCAAGTCCCCCAGGTTTCCAAAATACAAACAACAACAATTTTTCTGCCAATCTAAACAACCCTCCTGGTCCTGTTGATAAAACACACCAAATGCTGGAAGTAATTTTGAAAAAAATGGAGGACAAGTTCTCCCTGGTTGATCAGAATATGAAGTTAATGCAAGAAAGGCAAACAGCCCAGGATACCTTGTTGAGTAATTTGCAGGCCCAAATTAACAACAGGTTACCTGTTCAACCATTTCCTGCTCCTAAGGAGAATGTGAGTGCTGTTGTCCTTAGGAATAACAAAGTTCTTCCTGAACCTTCCTTAGGGAATGTTAGAAGGGTTCAGGAAATTATGGAAAAGGAACTTGACTCACAGAAAATCCAAGACCCTGAATTGGTCAACAATAAATCTGTTGTGACTCCTGACACTCCTAGGGCAGTTTACAAACCTCAGCCACCTTTCCCCAGTAAATATCAGAATCGAAGGAAGAACAGTAAAGAACCAGATGATGAAATAGTTGAAATGTTTAAAAAGGTTCAAGTAAACATTCCTCTTTTAAATGCAATAAAAAATGTTCCAAAATATGCAAAATTTTTGAAAGAGATGTGCACTAATAAAAGAAGGCTGAAAGGGGATGAGAGGGTGAACATCAGTGAAAATATTTCTGCAATCTTTCAAAAGAAACTTCCCCAGAAATGTCAGGATCCTGGTGTGTTTTCTGTGCCTTGTAAGATTGGAAATTTGGAGAATACCAAGGCTTTACTTGATTTAGGAGCATCCATCAATGTCATGCCTAGGGAGTTATTTGACCAGTTGGGGGTAGGAGAACTAAAAGAGACTGGGGTAGTTATTCAACTTGCTGACGGGAGTTTAACTTACCTTGAAGGGGTGGTTGAGGATGTTTTAGTCCAGGTCAATGACTTGCTTTTTCCTGCTGACTTTTATGTCCTTAACATGGGAAAGGATTATTCAGGCATCCCTCTCCTTCTGGGCAGACCATTTTTGAAAACTGCTAAGGCCAAAATTGATGTTGATGCAGGAACTTTGTCCTTAGAATTTGAAAATGAAGTTATTAAGTTTAACATTTTTGAAGCAATGAAGTTTCCTGATCAACTCAATCAAGTTTTTACATTAGACATCATTGATGAAATGGCACAAGATGTTTTTCAATTATCAAATCAGGATGAGCTTTTGAGTGTGGTGTCCAATAGTCTGGATCCTGAATCCTTGAAACTCTCTCCATACACTGTAAATTCAGAGATTCATAAATATGTTAAAATGCTATCTGAGGTTAAAACTGTTTCTTTAACTCATACTCTGGAGCTGCCTAAAAATGTACCCAGACAGTTGCCCTCCCTTGTCCAACCACCTGAGTTGGATTTGAAACCTCTACCC